CTGGGGCCGTAGCGGGCTAAGTGGGATATGGCCTTAGAAGAGATTTGTGTAATATGCCGCTTTCAACTCAGTTTAATTAAATACTTTGATTATGACTATTACGAAGCTCTAATGACCGCCAATGTCTGTCTAATATCAGGGTCTTTATGATGATGATGATGATGATGATGATGATGATGATGATGATGATGATGATGATGATGATGATGATGATGATGATATGATAATGATGTTCATAAGACAAAGGACAATTCGATATTTGGCAACAAAAAAGACAAAAACTATAGAAAACAGAACACTTGGCTAAAATAAAGATTTCTTATACAATCCAGAAGGGGCCACGAGTCTTGAGTGAGCGCTCATGTGTGGCTGGCTGCTTCTACAACATTTTGTTCATTGGACTTCTTTTATTCATAGCAATCCCTGACTCACCAAAAACTACAACTCGAATCAATCTCGTCGGATACGCAGGTTCAGCCCAGATGCTATAGCTCTTCCTAATTCTAATCACACAAGAAAAAAAAGCAACCAGTTAAAGGTAAAATATACACTGCGCTGATCGTTACGAGGAGTTCTCACGAAACGAATTTGGCAACAGCGACAAATATTTTAAAACATTACAACGTTTGTTTCTCTAAGCGTAATCAGAGTTTTTGTTCAGCAGCTATCTTATTTAGAGTCAGAATTAGCGTGTGTACATACGTGCATTTACAGATTTCGTGGAAGCAAGAAAGCGTTTGGAGGACACGCAAGAGCAAGAAAACGAAATGGGTGGAGAGAGAGAGAGAGAGAGAGAGAGAGAGAGAGAGAGAGAGAGAGAGAGAGAGAGAGAGAGAGTTTGCAGATGTTAGCTGATTTTCAATACGTTTCCTAGAACAGGAAAGATCATTAATTGGAGTTGTGCAATAGCGAAGCAGCGGACAGAATTAACACGGGAAAGAAAGGGACTCGGGACCTACTAATGGGCTTTTTCAACTACTAATGTGAGTGAACGAGCACATGTGAAAGAAAGAAAGAGAGAGAGGGAGAGAGAGAGAGAGAGAGAGA